TAAAAAAATCTATGGTTTGAGTTTTACTTTTATTAAAATGCTCACATTATCTGGCATGAACCAGAATTCCTAAAATTGCAGATCTGGCACAAAGAGAGAGAGTGTTACAAAATACCCTATATACTAAAAGAAATCTGCTATAATCTTACTCCCTTGCTTCAGCATTTATTTGCAGATTTTCAAACTGAAATATATTATCTGAGGACAATCTTTTATAATATCTACTGCACATCTAAGTTTTTAAGCAAAAGAGGTTCAGTTACTAATAACCTCAATTAGATAATTTGTGCAAGTATTTCTGCATTTATTACAATCTGAAACCACCCTTAAGATTTAAGCAAACAGTTCTGGAAAACATTCTATCAATTAGATTATTCAGCAATGCCCAAGTATCATACAGTAGCTATTAGAATTATTTTTACTTCCTACTAGAGCACAGAAACACTCGCATTAATATTTACCTGTCAAGTTTTGGATTATCTTGTCTTTCCCTTTGCTGTTCAAATCGTAGTTTCAATCCTTTGAACGTTTGCACGTAATCTACATCTTCCAGTGCTTTCCAGTAATTCTCTATTACATGAGCAGTTAATGATTTTATATCTTCCTATAGGAAAGAAATACAACCATAAACCAAGTGACTTAATTAAAAAAAGAAAAGAAAAACAAATGTATGTATGCAAGTATGTTTTTTTTAATACAACAGGAAAGGAAAAACAATATGAAGATGCAATATTCATAAAATGTCCTAAAAGTGCTCAGTTAACAAATATAGCAAATACATTTGTGGGTAAAATCTGGCACTTCAAATAAATAATTCGACTGAAAGAGAGATGTAAGAGTAACAGTTTTGGATTTTTACAGTTTTTGAAATAAAACAGGTAAGTTTTCTACATAGCCATTAATCAAGCATACTGAAATCAGCTCTAGACTTAAAATACCTGTACTTAATTTACACAGACATATATGAAGATGTCAATTTGTTTTTATCATAATAATATCAATGACGTTAAGGAAAAGGAGAAAAACAGATCAAAAAGCAAATAATTCATGATTTCTCTGTAATGTAATAAAAGGATATTCTCTCACACTAGTGCAGGTAAGAGAAGATGAAGGGGGAAAAATAACTTCTTCAAGTATTCCTATGTGGTGCTTCCCCCTGATTGGGGCCATGATACACATGAAAAGAAAAGATGGTTTATTTCCCCACAAAATGAGGTCTGTGGCCAACTCCTAATTTCAGATTCCTGAAGGATTTGTAGGAAACTAGGATTATACAGGGGGAAGTGCTCTGGCTCTGGAGCTCAAGCACCGTCTCCATTCAAACAAAGACTTTCACTAGCCTTAACCACCTAAGGCCTCATTTAAGTGACAAAGACGCTCACTTCAAAGACACTTAAATAAAGCCCTCAACATGTTACATTTCTCAAGTAACCTTCAAAACACAGGAGCAGGGGAGGTGGGAAATAATGCACATCCCCATTAGAGTAGTAGGACTGGAATGATATTGTAGCCTTGATAGTCCAGGAAATATACCAGCCAGGGTTTTTTAAGTGATCTCTTTTACTGGACCCACTGAATAGTTGGGAGAGACGTTAGACATGCTTTCAGGGACAAAGTTCAATTAAAGATGTGAACTTTGTTCCTGAAAGCTTATCTAACCCTCCCCCCATGCAGTTGGTCCAAAAAAAGATATCACCAAAAATACCCTAGCATCCCCCACCTCCCCCCATTCAACAGCAACCTACCCACTCAGTAGCCTGACTTTTTCCCATGCAAATTTTAAATCTACTTAGTCTGGGTGAAGACAGTATTGAGGGAACAGTGCCATGGAGGAAGATAATCAATCCCTTCTGTGTGTGTTAAGAGACTCCCACATGCTAAAATCTTGGAAATACTACATTTATATTGAGTCTCCTATGGTTCAGTGGTAGACTGCTTGCCTGCCACATGGGAAACCTGGGTTTGATTCCTGGGATGCTTATACAACTATGCCTATGGAGGCTCCAAACACCTGGATCCAGTCTGGCCTTTGGATTCTGTCTCAGTGGACTAAAGGGGAAGATAGGAGGTCTGGGCAGCCTCTACTCCTCCAAACCCCTGCCTAGGCAAATGTGTCAAAGGTCTGGATGACCTCTTGTGCATACACCATGATCTGGCAGGATCAATGTTGTCAAACTAAACCACTATACTTCTATCTTCTGACAGAATTACTTCTCTGCTCTGTAAATATTTCCATATTTTACAGAATTCAGTCAGTCTAGACCTGGGGTGCAAAACACATACTTTACTGACAGATCTGCAAGGTACATATATAGTGGGTTGCAAACAGCAAATGCAGATTACTGTTAATTTAACTTGCTATTTGCTTTGAAAATCCTTTTTAGGTTTTTATATTTGGGGAACAACAAATGGTTTAATAAAGAATTATGAGTGGACCATCAGGACTGTCTCTCAAGCACTAATGACTTAGTATATCCCTTTAAGTAATTTCAATTTCAAACATTCCTACCTTAATACTTATTCCAATCCAGAATTAGTTTATACAACAGATTTCAATAAAGGACAGTATTTTCAAATCTGGGAACAATGAATGCAATTTCAACATTGTGCAACCATTACCATTTATCTCTGAATGAAATGCCCTTCCAGAACAGTCAGTCATTCTGGACAAGAAACTTTACATCAATTTCAGATTTCTGTTGGTCACGTCATTATAATCATTTTATTTAAACGTTACCAGAATTAGACACTAATAACCGCACCTGTCTCAAAATTAAAATCTAAACTCCTAAACTATATCATGTATTATAAGATCAACATTGTCAAAGATATAATAGTACTCACCACTCTAATAAATTCAAACATCTCTATTATGGCAGAATTCATCAGATTATAGCGGGATCCATTGTTGAGAAATGCTTTGACCACAGGTTCAAACAAAAAACTTTTCATTATGTATCGGTTGTAGAATTCATCCTTCAAACCAATTATCTTTCTCTTAAAACGAAGGGCACCTAAACCAGGGAAGTGGTTGTTGAAAGTTACAATTATTTTTATAGACAGAATTAAAAATAAACCAAAACAGCAGTTATTTCACATGGACTATAGATAAGAAAGTTAGCTTTTTATCAATAAATTGTATACTATTGTATACTATTGATACAACATGTATCAATAGGTTAAAAAGGTTTTTAAAAAGTACAAATTGAGTGTGTAATGACCTACTATACCATCGAAAAATCCTTCAAGTAAGCCTAGATGTATAGATCATCCTTTTTTAAATGAACTGTAACACTAACCTAAGCATGATGCTAGCATGCTAACTGTTAAAACATTGAAACAACTCAGGGTTTCAAAGAAAAATCATTTCACAATTGCAAGATTCATTACCAGTATTCACTGTTGGACTCATACAGTCATTTTTCCCCTCCTTCTAATCATTTCTATTTTTTCAAAGAAATGACTTGAGTCTGTTTCATTGATTTTGTCTACAAAGTAAACGGTCATCAACATTAAACAGGAAATGGTTTTTCTGAGTGAAGAAAATGCTGAAACTTGATCTATTTATCAATCAAGCCTGCCTTTGAAGCCTGCCTTTGAGGCTTTCGTTGTGGTGTTCCAAAGCTTCTATAAGCTTTTGAGCTCTCAAAGCACCTTACTTTTGCACATCTAAAGCCAGGCTATTTTCCCTCCACTGGTCTGTGAAAGTACTCCAAGTGGATAAGCTGTACACATGTGAAATAGGTTTACTGAAGGGTCCTAATTCTATCAAAATCATACATGATCTTTAAGGCTAGGGACAGAGTTACACATAAACCAGTATAAGTGATCAGAAATCAGTTCAAATCCATATCACAACAGAAGTTCAGTGAACATAAACTACTTTCAAAATGGCTGAAGCCAGTTTAAGATAAAGCTGGAAGGATGTTGCATCAGACTTAACTGATTTAGGTTAAATCAGTTTACTGAACTTCTGTCTCAGATCCCCTCCAGATTCAAATCAACTCTCAGTCCCCATCATCCCAGGATGCTTTGCACTTCTCTCAAACTCCCTCCTCACAGGTGGGCAACCTAGTCCTTGCCTAAGCTGTCTGCTCCAGCTGAGCAAGGAGGTGTGCTCTAGCACCCCCTTGCTTCTGGCTTGAGCCACTGCAGGCATACAGCTGCATTTCTGGAATTGAAAGTGAATGTCTGTTCACTTGCTTATCAGTTTAGTCTATGCAGCTTAGACTAACCTGCAAAGATTGAATCAATTCAGTCTTGGGTTTTCCAACAGTCACTTAGCCTAAGTGAAAAGGCACTTTAAACTACAAGTTACTTCTCTTCCCATTTCCAACTGTTAGTTGTGAACATGAAGAGAGACAAACAAACTTTTTGGAAAGGTTGAAGGAACTACTCAACTAGTTGCTCAGGTCTTCAAAGACCTGTTCTTCAAGACCTTCTGCCTATTAAGTTTTGACACTGAAGTGCATTGTGTTTTATTAGCAAGTAAAAAAAACAAACAAAACCTGACAATTACTTCTAAAAGTTCTTTCTTTCCAAAATTAAGTAACATCACAAGCACAAGTAAATAGTTCTTGATCTACAGACTGTGATTCTCAACAAGGGTACCATGACACCCTGGACTGTCCCGAGATCTTTTCAAGGATTCTGTGGGGTACCATGCAATGGTAGCACTGTTAGGTGTGCAAGCATGATTCACAAGATAAGAGCCAGAGATTTAAAAAAGGAACCCATAGTTTTTAAAAGCATTATGACCTGTTGTGGGCCGAGTCCTTTGCTACAGAAGGCTGCAAATTGGTTTATAATAGGGCTCTCTCAGGAAATAAATTAAATACGTAACTCAGGACTGTTCAAACTTTGTGGCAGCCCCTGGTCTGCACACTGTGCAGACAGGCCCCTGGGATTCCACCCCTCCAACTGTGTGGGGCTGACCACTACTGCTCAGCTCTTCCTAATCTCCAAGGCCCTCCCTCACTACAGGCCAGAGAGAGGTGGTTGCATGGGCTCAGTCTGCAGGCTGCCAGCTGGACAGTCCTGAAATAAGTCACAGAGCTGGAAGGGGCCTTAAACAAATACAGAATGGTCTGATTCCTATAAGCAACTGTTTGGGGTAGTACTCAGCCCTTTTCCTGAAAACCTAAAATGAAGGAGATTCCTCAGTTTCTCTAGGCATTTTATTCCATTGTCCTATTCTTCCCAGGGTGTATAAAGCTATTTGAGGTTTGATCTAAATCTGGTTTGATAAAATTAAAACCCATCTCTTTGGTGACCTGCCCTCTGTGGCAATGTAGAACATCCCCCTCCACACTTCTTCATAACAGCCTATTGAATATTTGAAGACTGCTATGTTCTCCTTTAATTTCTTTTCCCTAAGCATATCTTATTCTCTCAACTTTTCTTCATACGACTTGCATTCAAAAAAAGGCTAAGTTTCAGCAACCCTCCCCACCGATAAATACTAAATTATTTGGTAATTCTAAATGACACAGCCACAGGTTGGTATAAGAAATAAACGATATAGTTATGAAGATGGAACTTCTGTACTGAAGGTTATGGTTATGTAAAGGTACATATTTTCCAACAAAATACCACTATTACAAATAACACTCATCACACAAACAAGTTAAAAACTTACATAATGCCAAGAAAGCGTGCTTTGAGGCCATAAGAACTAATACTCGTCGCAGGATATCTTTGTTAATAATGTAGTTCTTTATATGATATGTATGATGTTCTACACAGAAAGTTAGCAATTCCAATATTAATGCCAACAGCTGTGCTGTCTGAAAATCATCTATAAATAAAAAATATATTTATTAACAAGAACATAATTAAAAAAAATACTTAGCGCCCTATTTTCAAATACTAAATCTAAATTTGCAGGTACAATCACAAAGTTGGATCTTTAAATCCCACTGTAAAAACTGTTATACTAGTTTTGGGTAGAAAGCTGGAATCTACATCTAGCCCTTAAAAAACCAACCAACCAACCAACCAACCACAAAAACTAAAAACCCCATATAAAAGTCCACCAGTGACCTGATAATATCTACCCTAAAAATGTTAGCCTGCTGTATCAAGAAACCCTTTTATACTGAACATGCTTATACCAACATGAGTTTTTTTGCCACTATAACACTGGTCTGATGAACAATAAGCTATACTAGCAAGAGTAGTTATGACTGCCCTTATACAAGGGGGTCTCCCTACCTAGATGCGTCTTAAAACAGGGGTGACCAATCTGCTACACAAGTGTCATAAGTGGCACATGCAGCCTGTGTGTGAGGCATACAGCAGATTAGGAAGGGGGCAAACAGCACAGCAGCAAATAGGCAGGAAGCTGAAGGCAGAGCAGGAGATTGGGCAGGGAGTACAGAGAATGGAGCAGAAGGCAGAATGGCAGATCAGACAGAGGAAGGAGATCAGAGTGGTATCCAAGGAGGGTGCAGGGCTAATTTTTGTCATGCCTACGAAAAAGGCCGGTCTCCACTGTCTTAAAATATCATCCTGGACATTATCTTAGGTCATGTCCGCTCTAAAAATTTTTGTCAGTATATTATTCTTGTTAAAAGATGTAAAACAGATTTAAAAGACATTAGCCATTTTAGGAATCTAGAATACAAGAATCACACTAGATTAGGGGTGTCAAATTTATGGGTTGTGGGCCGGAACTAGCCTATGGAACTATGTTGTGTGGCCTGTTGGGCTGGCAGTGGGAAAGGGAATTTGGGGATGGGGCAAGCAGAGGTGGGACCTGACAACTAACTCTGGGACATTGAGCTCCAATGAACAAGAATTCAGCATGTGAAGAGCCCCATGATCCAGATGTGGCCCAGGGGGAGTTTGACATCCCTGCGCAAGATTAAAGATGAAGCTATTGGAAAGCTACTAACGTTAAACAAAAGGTAAAGGACAAGATGAAAACAATGGAAAAATTCAAAAAACTTTCAGGCAGATTTGTTGTTGTTTTTTTTTTAATGTAACACTAGCCGGTTTGAAAAATATTGCTGAGGTGTAAGCTATTATAACAGTGCTTTTGGGAATAACAAAATTTGATTTCAAACTCTCCTTAATGTTGGCTAAGGTTCAAGATCTTAAGTTGCCTGGCAATTACTCTAGAAATTTTCAGGGTATGATTAAGGACTGCTTATTGGGACAAATTTTGGATCCTATATATATCTCCTGACAATAAAAGTATTTAAGCACCTGAATAATTTTATGTACCATGAAAAGTTGACCTGATTACTCATACACCAAAAGTTACATAGATGCCTTAAGTGCTTTGCTAGATGAAAACTGGAACAATAATGTTGTGTTCACCTCATAAGAGATCTCTGTCTTTTATGTATTGTAAAACAATGAATCATTGTTTTAGTTCAAATCAGACATTAATCATCCAAAATATACTTATTTTGATCATGCAGAGTTTCATACACCCTTTAATAAATAGTCAGCATTAAATACTGAAATTCAATAGGCTTTGACAGGACAGCCAAACTTTGCTGGGTCTCACCTTTGCTAGGCTTATCTTCGGTAGTATTAGCCAGTAAGGGGGCTGTGAGAACATGCATACAGTGTTTATAGAAGAAACCCAGAAACTCTGTCTTCTCCGTTTTCTAAAGAATGAAAAAATATTTTTTAATACTGAAGCCTGCATTTCTAACATACATTACCATGAGCATTTAACATTTCAAGAAACTAGCCATAACTGAATTTAGAACTCACATTGGCAGTTGCTAACATATTTTCTGGATCAACTAGAGTTCGAAGCAGACCCATGAGCTGGACTGCCCCCCCAAGTTCAGGATCCGTGTCACAGATCATATGTTCTATGATGAGATTAATGAGTAAAATATCCTAGTAAGGAAGACAGAGACAAAAACATATAATTTATAACTAAGAAAAATGAAAGTCCCTTTAAAGGGGAAAATCAGTCAAATTTGGCCAAAATTAAAAATGTTGTAAAAAATATTACACAATGTGGTACTACTACAACCAGATCCTTAAAATACATTTTTGAAACTTCCAATGAAATATGACTATTTGTATGCCTAATATTACTGCTTTAATCATGGAGAAGCTTTCAGAGCAAATACAAAAGTTGGCTAATGAAAATTTATAAAAACAGGAAAAAGATTTGCAGAAAAAACTTGAGACATAGTGAGAAGGCAGGTGCTTCAAATTCTATATATACATATACATGCATAATGGTTTTTTAATTAGAGGATCTAACTTGTTATTGCTAAAAGAAAATCCCTAGTCCTACAAGTGCACACACATGGCTTTAAAAACATGAATGCATGTGATGACTCGCATGTAAATTTACTCAAAACACATGCGCATTTGCAAAAAAGGGATCACAAACCAATTTAACATTCTTACATAATTCTTTTGTACATGCACATGCAATTACCAGCATTAGTAGAGCTATCTGGAAACTGACACTTCTCTCAAATTGTTATAGAACCCTGATTCTACAAGCTAATAATTTACCAAACATATCATCTTTAATATTAAACTAATTTGGAATTTTGGATTAAAAAAAAATCCTACCTTTTATCTTTGCATTTCCCTTGCCAATGCTGTTTCCCTGTTGTTCTTTCCTAAATTATTGTATTCTAGCCTGAATTATATCTGTGTCCAGAATATTGTACTTGTCAACTAACAATAGATGAATACTGTATCTTATTTACATTTAAAAAGAGTTCCTGTTTATTATATATAAAATTAAATTCCTACTGTAGGTTTGCAAGGTTCATTAGATCAAATAAGTTACTTTACTGTATATTACTTTTCTTCCCTATGAGAGATGTAAGCTTTGTATACTTTGGTGTATATTCAGGGCAAAAGATATTACAAAGGCCTAATGACATATCATCACCACCTGAAACTAAACAAGAAGTCTGAAATTCACATATTGCTTGATGTACTCTGAAAGGCAAACTGACAGGTGTAGAAAAACTTAAGGATCCAATTCTCCAAGCATTAAGACGTGCTTAGCTTTAGACAAATGAGAAGCTTTCCCTTCCATATGAGAAGCTTTCCCTTCCATATGTGTGTTATTTGTATAGTCTACATGTTTAAAGCTAAGGTACACAACTAACTGCTTCAAGGACTGGGACCCAAGCAGACTATAAGCAGCCTTCCACATGTTAACTAATAACTTAAAATTTTATTTTTTTACAGTAAAAACTCTGTTATCTGGCATCTCCCATTCCTGGGGGATGCCAGTTAATCAAATGTGCACCGTCTCCTGCTGGGGGACAGGGAGGGGGGCCCCACGCAGGCTGCTTTGCCCCAGGCCGTGGGCCAAAGAAGTGACATAGAAAAACTTGGCTCACTGCAGTGAAACCGGAAGTCCCCCAGAAGTGGTACTTCTGGTTTCGCTTTTGCCGCGTCCCTCGGATGCCAGTTAGTAGAGTTTTCCAGCTAACAAAGTGCCAGTTAACACAGCTTTTGCTGTAGATGTCAACACAGTTATACAATTTCACTGGAGATACTGCAGTGAAGGGTACTACAAAGAAGTTTCCAAATGGTTTTTATTTAAAAAGGAAGATTTTAAAAACTCAAATTATTTGTAGCATACATTTGTAAAATGCAACCATGTAAAACAGGATTTAGTTTCAGTTAATGGAGTTGCAAGTATGAACCTTCTTTAAAAAAAAAAAAAAAAAAAAAAAGTCACCTTAAAGGAGTTCCTACTTACATCATCATTCTGTTGAGCTTCCTGCATGACAAATTCTCGTACCATGGATGGATTGTATTCAACCAAATATGAGAATATATCAGTAGCTGCACTTCGTACTTGTACATCATCCATACCCTGGGAAGTCAAGTAAAACCACTTACAAATTTTCAAAAATAAAATCCTTGAGCTTGGAAGACATGAAGCAGTCATTTTTTAAAGGAACACAAGCAACTTCACCTCTCTCTCGCATTTGATACCTCTATTTATATAATTATATATAATTTTACACTTTTCCTTGTTATTTGGTCAATTATGTTAGCCCTGGGTACACAGAAAAACATATAATGATGGGAAAGTGACAACACATCAAAAATACGGAGAGGGGAGTAACTGATGTAAAGCCTAAAGCCACATAAGATTTATTACTACTTTTTAAATCAACTGACTTGCAAGTTGGTAATATTCCCTATGTGATAGGACAAATAAGAGTTCTTCAGAAAGCTGCATAACTCAAGTTTTGTCTTATTAACTTTTTAACCAACCAATTGACCTTTCTAAAATAAAAATTATAAAATAGTTATAGAAAATATTTAGAAAGTCATTTTAGAAAAAAATCTTGAGTTTACTTACTAGAATAACTTCTAATGCTGGCAGTATACCCATATTAGACAATGTTTTGAAAAAAGCATCTCTATTCTGAGGTTGTAACGTCTGAGAAAATGCACAGAACTCTTTAAGGAAATTTACCTGAAATTTAGAAAAACACATGAATGGTAAATAAGAAAATTCTGTCAGCTGGAACTGTCACTTCACACAAACTATTCAAATTCTTACCAACTCTTGTCTTTTCTCCTCATCTGTGGCTTCATCTGTTAGCTGTGCAAACAATTCTGTCAGAAATTTCTCATCTTCCTACAAAAGAAAGACATTTGATTACTTGCTAATTTTATATCTAAACCTCAGAATATTAAACTCCTCAAATCCCCGTCTCCCACAGTTAAAAGTCTAACAAGCCATGTATCATACTTAGCGTTTGTCAATTTTCTGCTTAATACCATTTTCAAATGTAAATTTATCAGGCATCCTTTTTCACTTTGTTACAAACCATTCTTTCCTTTTTTCATACCACTTTCCCAGCTGCAGGGCATCTTGTAATGTCTTTTATGCATCTCTTTTCCATATCTACACCCTCTGATCTCTTTACCTACAGTATGCTTTATTACCAATGCTACATTCTTTCCATCTATCCTTACATTAATCAACATTTTTTTTTTTTAATGCATGCCCTCCTCAATCTCCTTTCCACCCCAACTCCAGCCTTCAAATACATGAGGAGACTGAGGGACCTAGATTTCTTCAGCCTTCACAAGAGAAGGCTGAGAGGTGATCTTGTGGCTGTCTATAAATTCGTCAGGGGAGAGCAGCAGGGAATAGGAGATGCTCTATTTACTAGGGCACCCCCTGGAATAACTAGGAACAACGGCCACAAATTGACAGAGAGCAGATTTTGGTTGGACATGAGAAAGAGCCTCTTCACAGTAAGGGCTGCCAGAATCTGGAATGGGTTTCCAAGGAAGGTGGTGCTCTCCCCTACCTTGGGGGTCTTCAAGAGAAGACTGGACAAGCACCTAGCTGGAGTCATCTAACCTCAGAGCTCTTTCCTGCCCAGAGCAGAGGGTCAGACTCAATGACCTACTGAGGTCCCTTCCGACCCCAACATCTATGAATCTATGAAGGGTGCTGTGATGCGACTGCAAAGCCATAGGCCATCGTCGCTGAAAAATCATGGCGATCACAAGAGGTCCCAGATGGCTGGAAAAGGGCAAACAGTGTCCATACTCAAAGGAAAAAGAAGAATCCAGGGAACTACAGACCAGTTAGCCTCACCTGTGTCTCTGGAAAAATCATGGAGCAGATCTTCAAGGAATCCATTTCTAAGCACTTGGAGAGAGATACGGTGATGAGGAACAGTAAGCATGGATTCACCAAGGGCAAGTCATGCCTGAACAGCCTAACTGCCTTCTATGATGAGATGACTGGCTCTGTGGATGCAGGGAGACTAGTGGATGTGGTATATCATGATTTTAGCAAAGCTTTTGATAGTCTTTCACAACATTCTCACAGCTAAGGAACTACAGGCTGGATGAACAGGTGGTAAGGTATACAGAAAACTTACTGGAAAATTAGGCTCAGAGGGCAGTAAGCAATGGCTCAATGGCTAGTTGGCAGTCAGTATTAGAGTGGAGTGCCCCAGGGGTCAGTCCTGGGGCCATTTTTTCTTCAACATCTTCATCAATGACCTGGAAGATGGCATAGAGTGCACCCTCAGCAAGAGTGCAGATGACGCCAAGCTGTGGGGGAATAGTAGATGCACTGGAGGGTAGGACTAGGATTCAGAGTGACCTAGACATATTGGAGGATTGGGCCAAAAGGAATCTCATGAAGTTCAACAAGGACAAGTGCAAAGTCCTGCACTTAGGACAGAACAATCCCATGTACCAGTACAGGCTGGGGGCTGACTGGCTGGGAAGCAGCTCTGCAGAAAAGGACCTGGGGGTTACTGTGGACAATAAGCTGAATATGAGCCAGCAGTGTGCCACTGTTACCAAGAAGGCTAATGGCATATTGGGCTGTACTGGTACAAGTGTTGCTTGCAGATCAAGTGATTAATTCTCTCTACTTCAGCACTGGTGAGGCCACATCTGGAGTACTGTGTTCAGTTTTGGGCCCCCCACTACAGAAACAATGTGGATATATTGGAGAGGGTTCAGCAGCAGAAGGCAACAAAAATGGTGAGGGCACTGGGGGACATGACTTATGAGAAGAGGCTCAGGGAACTGGGCTTATTTTAGTTTAGAGAAAAAGAGAGAGGGGATTTAATAGCAGCCTTCAACTACCTGAAAAGGGTTTTGAAAAAGGATGGAGCTGGACTGTTCTCAGTGGTTTCAGATGACAGAACAAGGAGAAATGGTTTTAAGTTGCAGGAAGGGAAATTTAGGTTAGATATTAGGAAAATTCTCTCACTGGGAAGGTAGTAAAACACTGGAGCAGGTTGCCCAGAGAGGCTGTGGAGTCTCTATCCTTGGAAGTTTTTAAGACCCATCTAGATAAAGCCTTGGCTGGGATGATCTAGTTGGGGATGGTCCAGCTTTGAGTAGAGGGTTGGACTAGATGACCTCCTGAGATCCCTTCTGACCCTAATTTTCTATTATTCGGGGGGGGGGGTGTCATCTCATAATCAGGTTGTTTCCCATTCGAGTAAATACAATAAGAGAGGATGGTAATCAAGTGTTCTCCAGGTCCACGGGAGACAGGACAAAAGTAATGGTCTTAATTTGTACCAAGGGAGGTTTACGTTAGAAATGAAGATGAACTTTCCAAGTAGGTGTGATTAAGCACTGGAACAAGATTATTTAGAAAGGCAGTGGAATATCTATCACTGGAGACTGTTAAGTGCAGCTTCAGGACCCGCTTGCCAGAGAGGTGGAGCCTGATGGCAAATTTTTGGCTGTGAAGCCCCCTGTGAATGTGGTTCGACAGTGGGGAGTGGGATGGGGGAAGCAATGGTTGTTCTTACACCTCCACTGCTACAGCTCCTTGCCCTGCCAGGTCCATATCTGGTCGACAAGGAGATTTGTGGTCCAGATCTGGCTCAGAGGGCTGGTCGAGTTTGACACTCCCAGACCAGAGGGAAGGTCCCTGAAGTTCCTTCCAGACTCATATGATTCTATACAGTACTTAATAGTGCTGGTCTAGGAAACCCTTCTGTGCGCCAAATATGAGGATTTTTTCAAAAGCTATTTATTTAACCACTACGTTGCAATACAGTAAGAATGTAAGTAACCTAATATGAACAGTGTCAAAACCCAAGTCTCTTTTTAAAACCTTATTCTTAAATATTACCATTGGTCTTCACTGTTACTCCTTGGCTCAAATGAGAAACAGCAGCATAGCCCCAATCTCCCAGTTACAACTGGACTAAATACTTTTATGGAATAAATCCAGACACTATTCATAAGAAAACTTTGTTTCAAAATTAAAAGAAAAAAGAAGTTTGAAGAACATTATTGGAATCTTACTTATTCTTCAAACTGAATTATAGCTGGTGATACAATTAGGACAGGACAACTGCACGACAGTTATCTGCTAAAACACCGCAAAAAAACATGTAATAGCAAACTCTCAGAGAAATATTTCCTTCAGAGAAAAGTTCGAGTTATTCACCATTAATAGCACACAAACTTCAGATAGATGTAGTCTCCTCCTAATAGGACAATGAACCTTAGAACAGTAATTCTACCTCCAGCCAGAAGAAAGAAATTAAATATTTTCTTCTCTTGCCATTGTAACCAGTAACAAGATGCCACTAAACCAGTAACACAATCCCTTCTGGTAAGGCATAACTCACAGGTGTCATGTCTCTGACATTTTTTGTTCCCTTCGTAAAATACAAGCAGCAGCACGTTTCTTCTCTTTATTAGGACTGGAAGTGAGTGGATGGCCTCCTACATCTTTCTAATCTCAACTACAACTTCTAACTACAATTAACACTGCAGAGGGAGTTACCACCACCAGAAAAAAATGGAAATTTTTCATTCAACTGAAATGTCAGAACCATGGTTAGCGTGAATCTGCATAAGCAGAAGATACAAAATCTTGAATACACTTTTTCACTAACCCATGGTACAATTTCTATAGTAAAATGCTTCTTAACTTGCACAGAACCAGGTAAAATTCCTTACTAAAAAAAAAAAAAAAAAAAAAAAAAAAAACAAACACTTTACAGTTGAAGGTTAGCACTCAAAACTCATACATCCCAAATCCTCATTTCATTGAAAATTAAATAAGACTTCAACTCCCAGATTACTTGAGCCAAGGGTGGTCAACCTGCAGAAAGAAGTGCCATAGGCAACTTCTGGTATGGCATGCAACAGATCAGGAAGGGGACAGGCAGCCCAGCAGCATACAGGTCAGGAGGCAGATGGCAAAGGAGACTGGGCAAAGAACAGAGTATGGGGCAGAGAGCAGCAGAGCAGGCAGAAGAAAGGAACTGAAGTGGTATTTGGGGTGGGTGAAAAACTAATTTGTGGAACACTTGCCAAAAAGGTTGCCTTCCACCGACTTAAGCCATTTGGCACATTTTACCTGAAAGGGTAAAAAAAAAACTGCAAAGCCTCATTGTATAATTACTGAAATATAGTGATCACGTACTTAATTGCAATATTATATCACACAATTCCACATCTCCCAAACCTCAATTAAATATGTAGTATTATTACAGATAGGATTTTCAAAGTTCACAGTCCTGACTTAACCCTGATCCTAGTCAAGTTAATATAAAACTTGGACAGAGCTGAATAGTTTTGAAAATTCCCATCTTCTGCTACTCAAACAAACACCTTATTTTAAAATATATACAATAACCTAGAGCTATTTTAAACAGAGGGAAATCACTAAATACAGGTTTCCCTTGCCAATCGCTGGGGTTAGGTTCCTGAAAGTTCCCATGGTGGCAAAACCGTGACTGGCCAGACAAAAGAATTATGGGAAAAATGACAGGTGGCAGACTAATGTGCGGCCACAGAAAACCGTGGTTACTCAAAACTGCATACCATGGTAGCCAAACTGGTGTATAGAATATTAAGCATGGATACTCAAAACTGGTTGGTGAGGGAAACCTGTATATAATTTTCCAGTACTATATATTGCATGCACACACACCGCTTAGAAATATACTTCAATTATATTTGCACTTATACTTCAAACTGAAGTGCATGTAAATAGGAACATGGTGTTCACTGCTACAAACAAACAAACAAACAAACAAACAAACAAACCAGTGCCACCCTATTATTAACAACTAGACCTTAATTAAAATTTATCTAGAAAAGCCAAGTAAAATCCCAAAGTGC